TTACACTAATTATTAGGTATAGGTATAATATATTATTGTTTTAATTGTATTTATACCAAACAAAATATACAGGAAATTTACATTGTATTTTTAATAGGAGAAATAGAAAAAAATTCCTTACATCTAGTAAAAAAAAAAGATCCCAGCCAAAATCTAAAAAAACTTCTTTTCTCGGGAAATACAGAAAGAAGGTGTAATAGTGGCCCGTATCAACATTATGGTTTAGCTGAACCATTACTGGAAGACAATATTTCAATAGAAGTAAAAAAAAACATAAGACAATTTTTTAGAAACACTACAGTTGGACAGACGTGAACGGTTAGCCATTGAAGAACAAACAAGGGAACAGACCAATTCTCAAATTTGGCATGTTGAACGTAGAAATCGGCTCACAGCGTTAAATTTTGGCTGCGTTTGTAAACTTCGAAAAACTACGTTGTGCAAAAATACTGTTTATAGTACGCTGTGACTAGAGACCCGGACACCGGGTATATAATGCGTAAAAATTATATCCCCGGACATGATATACGCATGCGCGGGACTTATGATTTCTGTACAGAATATAATAATTTCTGCGCGACGTTATCACTGTTATCAGTTATTATATTTAAATTAATTTAATTGATATCGAATACCTAATTATAAATTTACAACACGATTTAAGCACAATTTAAGTACAATTGTTACCCAAGCGTAGGTATGGTCTATTATTCTATCTTATTATAATGTTTGTCAGTACGTTACACGTCATTTTCATCATTTTCATATTAATAATTCATTTTTATATACATAATCACATTTCATTACAGTTTACACATAACACATTACACTATTATATATTTTTTACATTACATTTATTTTACAACATTGAGAACAAAACCAATCGGCCTTTTTAGGCTTAGGTTTTATCCTTGAATCACATGTAACATGAAACCAAGTCAAACAGCTATCACACAATATGGATTTTTTCAAACCAATATTTTTTTGGCATGTTGGACAAATCCATAGGTACAATTTTCTTCCGCTTTATATTAATTATTTTCATTAATGATCGCCAGGTTCCATTTGTGAAAAAAACATTTAACCATATCTATCTCAACATCTTCCTCTAAAATTGCACTGTGCATTTTATCTTGGCGTCTGGCGAGTCAATATTTCTATGTCATCAATGATGTAGTTATTATACAGCGCTTTTGTAACAATATTTTCATCTGTAACTATCCATTTTAATAAAATTTGCAGTTTTTTTCAGCACTCTGTGTTCTAAAGTCTATAGGCAATCCCTTCTTTTTTTCAGAAGTCCGATTGTCGTTTTTGTTATTCCCTTGGGTCGTCCAGATATTTTAATTTTTGAAGGCAGTTTAATGGACTTTAAACCTGCTATAAACAGCGTACAAATTGTATGATATTGTTTTATTCTATTTAAAATAATATTTACCTTCAGTACCAACAATTGTTTCTACAGAGTTTGAGCATGTCTGCTCGTATGAAGGATTGTCAACTTGCACACTGCAAGTATCGTAAACTTCTTCCTTTTCAATAAAATCTAATCCAAGTACATACAAATATACATTATAATTATTATTACATTTTATCATTTAAATTAATTGTATCACATAGTAATTACTATAACCCATGTATACACTCCAATAAACTTTGACTACTTACCATCAGTTTCTGAAAGATTACCAACTTGCACACTACATGTATCATCAACGTCTATCGATATGTCTTTTCCTTCATTCTAAGCGTTATAAATATAATTAAGTTGACCAATTTTTTTTTCATAGTTTTCGTTAGATAAAGTCGAAAAAAGATCAGCTATTTTACCTCCAATTTTTGAAGTTTATCGAAATTTCTGATGTGATGATAACTTCTTCGTTTTGTTTGTAATGATTGTCAAACTATTATTGTCATCATATGCAGAAGTATTACACAAAGAATGATTTTGTACTTGCATTGTTGTAGGGATTTGAAATACTCTTTGTTTTTCATAATAATATTTTAATATTGTCCAACGAGTTGCACATAAATGTTCATCATATAATGGATTTGTTTTTTGTCTAGCATTGAATATATGTTGACAAGGTAATGTCATGGCTATATAAAATTTACATTGACACCCATTGATTGTTGTAAGTGATAGCATTTATGACTTGGCTTCAAATTGCTTTTCGACAAGCTTAAAAGAATAAGGTGTGAGTAATGAAAAATATTTACTTAAATCTGGATGTTGATTTTTTACTAATGGTAAACTTTTATTTAATATATCACTATTTATTGGTTTAATTTCTATATACGTTCGTTAAGTATTTCTTCATTAAATGAGTCTAATTCTTCGTCTAAATTATTTATTTCTATGTTGTCAATTATTTCACCATCAGTGTTAATTACGTCAATTTCTAAATTATTTTCGTTTTCGATTATTTCAATTATTCTATCTAACGTTTCTCTAGCTATCGTTTAAAATTCGTCATTAATATTTTCTTCTGAGCTATTGTTCATTAATATTTTATTATTCTACTTTAATGTATAATCTCAGTAATATTTAATGTTTAATTTTATTATTATAATCTCATTTAATATAATCTCAATTAACTTATTATTTCTATTCGATTTGGGCTTTAAATTCGACTGGGGCTTCTACTTGGGCTAGGCGCGTCTACTCGGGCTGGCGGGCTTTAAACATTGGCTACAAAATCTACAAGTGTTCTATACAATGGAGTAGCTAATTCCAAGGGAGTTGTACTTAAATAATAAGATGAACTCAATAATATGCCCTCAATAATCAACAATAAATATAATCTCAATAAAAATCTCATTAATGCCCTGTAATAATTCACAATAATTCTCAAAATAATATAATATACCCTTAATAATTCATAATAATAACTTCTCAATAAATGCCCTTTAATATTTCACAAAATAATCTTCAATAATAATCAACAATTGCCCTTCAATAATAATCAATAAATGCCCCTTAATAATTCCCATAATATTGTCAATAGATGCCCTTTTAACTACGATAATAACTTTAATAAATGCCCTTTATAATAACTTTAATAACAATTTTATAATATGTCCTATATATTTTAATTATTTCCCTAAATACGATGGACCAATAGACCAAATGAGACGGTTATGTAAATTATTCTTACAAAACTGCTGTATTCATCCCGTTGCTTGATCTCTCTCGCCGTAGTTGAATTGTAACAAAAGTTCGGTCTTCCCAGAGTCGTTGAATTGAAGCGTGCCCTCATCAGTTCAACGGTAATCCACGAAGGCGAAGTTGCCTCTGTTGATTGAAGTTGATTCAAAATATTTCGAAAAATATTGTTGATTGTTCCTTGTATCTTGGAGGACCCTGTCCACAGCGCCAATAACTGATACGTCCCAACTGAGGTCGATATATACATCAACGCAGGAATGAATAACTGATGTACTAGGTTTTGATGAGTGTTTATTTAACTAGGTACACAATTACAATATTATAATCTATGGTGAAGAATAGAGTGGTGTTACGACTCTATTGTAAAATCTAAGACTGTGAGTGGTGTTACGACCTGCCTCTAAAGCTGGTTACACACGGAACGGTTTAGCCGCGCGGGGACGCGGATTCTTTTCGAGACTGCGTCCGCGCCTTCCTTACACACGAGGCGGAATGACCGCGCGCGGACGTTGATTTCGACCGCTACCACGTCCGCGGTTTGCTTACACACGAGGCGGATTATGAATGCGGTTTACTTATATTTTAAATATTTCGGGCCAATTTATTATTCACACTAATTTGTTACAAAATCAGTTGAGCTTAGAACGTGGTTGAAACACTGGGATCTTTCGCATTTCTTTATTAAGAGGCCGTCGTGGTAAAAGTTAAACTTATGCAACGCTCAAGAGATGGCAGGCCGTAACCACGCCCATCGTCTACTCGACTGGTCTTCGTAATCGCGGGAGAGGTACATTATTATTTCATGAATGGTCGTTTTGAACGTTTCGCGTCAGATGTCAATGCAGTTGACCATTACGTACCTGCGTGTGTAAATTGTATTACTTATATTTTCTCATGTACTGGCACGCGGCGCGCTTGCTTCTAACCCACAATGACAATTCGCAATATATTTATTAATTAAAGCTTATGTAGTAGTTATTTGATGAAAAATTTCGACTAATAAACAAAGCGTAGTTCGTACAAACCCGACTCCATCATATACAACATAACTCGATTTATATAATTATAACCTAATTACTTTTTGAAATAGGTAGGTACATGTAAAATAATAAATTCATTACGATTTACAATTAAATATATTTTTCAGTAAATTTAAGTAATAACTTATAGGTGACCTGAAGTAGGTACTTATCGTACCTCGTACGATAATTTAATCTCATATACATATAGGTATATACCTACATTATACGTATTACCTAGTACCTAACGTTTCAAATAGTTTTGATTAGTAGATATTATATGTATTGATGTATTTACTTATTTATTTTTAAACATATAATAATATAGGAAGTTGATTTTGTTCACATCTATAAACGTATTGGACACTATTGGTACCCAAACGTGATATTATTTTAAAAATATGATATACCCAAACGTTGTATTCATTTTGGATGACGTCTGAAAAAATGTGTTCCTAAACGTATGTTCCCAATCGTTCTCCCAATTCCCATGTAAAAATATCGATGATCAGTATAAAACTGTTGAAAAATTATTTTCATGAAGTGCTCTTTTTAATTAATTTGACATTGACAATATTTATGTTATAATTTTTATTTTATTTTTTTGCTTTTATCATATTATAAAACGATTGCGTAATTAAAATAATAATTCAAATATTATTTAAGCCGTCACCATATCTGATCCATCAAATTATTATACTATATATATTCCAAATTTTGGCCTAATATATAAATAATATACTAGTTACATCATAATTATAATAATAATAATAATACATACTTCTTTCTTTCTTCTTCGGTAAACTCGGCCACTAGGACCATCCCGACATACATCCTTGCCTCCAGTTTTCTCTATTCGATGCCTGTAATCTCCAATCTTCTCCTCCACCTAATGCTTTCACATCATCCCTAACTCCGTCCTCCCATCTCCGACGTGGTCTTCCCAGCGGTCTTTTTCCATTAGGGTTCTCCTCCAGTACCATCCGTATGAGTGGGTTTTGACTACGCCAGGCATGCCCAGCCCAAAGCAATCTTCCGTTCTTTATTGTTTCGAGTATACTGGGTTTATGAAAGAGTGTCTCTAGTTCATCATTTTTCCTTATTCTCCATTCCCCACTAAGCATGTCTTTTACTGGTCCAAAGATCTTCCTCAGTATTTTTCTTTCCAGAACTAAGAGTTTTCTTTCATCACTTTTCCTTAATGGCCACGCCTCAGCTCCATAAGTAATAACAGGTCGTATTAATGTGATGTATAATTGTAATTTTCACTCTCTTGAAAGTGATCTTGATCCCAGTAATTTCGCAAGACCATAAAGGCATTTATTTCCTGACTGAATTCTTGTTCCTATTTCTATTTCGATTTCATTTCTCTCTGAAAGTATGGATCCTAGGTACTTAAATTGTCTTGTTCTTTTGAAATTTCGGTTGATGTTAAGAGTTGGAAATAATCTTATAGTGTCTCGTCTTCCTACTACCATATATTCCGTTTTGTCCTCATTGATATGGGTTGGTTTTTCAGTTGTCCAGACTTCGTGAATTACCTTCCATAACCACTTTACCATTTCCTCTCTGCCTTCCTTTAAGAGCTCTGATTGAATGTCATCCTCTCCGGGGGATTTGTTATTCTTTAGCATGTTTATCTGTAATTGTATTTCCTCCAAGGTCGGTTCTTCACAATCCTGTGATTCTTGGATTTCCTGATTAAAATTAAAGGTTTCATTCGGTTCTTCACAGTTTAGCAACTTTTCAAAGTAGCTAGCCCATTTCTTTGCCAACTCTTCACTTGTAGTTATCAGGGAGCCATCATCATCCCTTAGAAATCTTTCTTTCTTTTTGTATCCACATCTGAGATCATTCACTCATCCCAGCTCATTCACATATCCCTAGTTCTGTGTGTTTTATAATCGAGTTCTGCTGTTTCTAATATGTTTTGAACGTATTTCCTCTTTTCACATCTCAATATCTTGCTGGCTTCTTTTTGACGAGTTCTAAATCTTCTCAGTGTTACTTCGTTGTTAGTGTCAATTAACCACTCTTGTCTTGCTAATTTTCTTCTTTGTACAGCTTCTTCACAAATCATATTGAACCATGGTTTTGTTTTCGATACTTTTTTTCCCAAGACTTTCGTTGATGCTTCATTTATGCTTTCTTTTACATGTTCCCATGTTTTATCAACATTTAAGTTTCTTTCTATATCTAGTTGTTTACTTTTAATAATATTCTGAAAGCACTCTACATACTCTTTGCATATTTGTTTGTCCTTTAGTTTATTTATATCGGTTCGTCCTTTGTTTGTTAAATTACCTTTCTTATATTTCTTAATTTTAACTTTCATCCATATACCAACCAGTAGGTGGTCCGAGTCCATATCAGCTCCCCGTAAAGTTCTTATATTCAGAATACTATTTTTGAATCTATTATTTATTAGGACATGGTCAATTTGGTTTTTATGTCTCCCATTCGGCGAGATCCATGTATATTTATGTATGTCTTTTCGTTGGAACATAGTACTTTTGACCACCAAACCCTTTCCTAAAGCGAAGTCGATTAGTTTAGTACCATTATCGTTGGTGCTGGAATGTAGGCTGTAGTTTCCAATAGTCGATTTGCAGCACTCTTCCCTTCCTATTTTTGCATTGAAATCGCCTAGTACTAATTTTATATCACCTTTTGACATGCTAAACGTATCTTCTAGTGTTGCATAAAACAGCTCTTTTTCTTCTTTATTCTTATACTCAGTTGGAGCATGCGCGTTGATTAATACCATGTCAAAATTGTCTGTTTTAATTGTTAAAGTTGTAATTCTCGGATTTATATCTCTGATAATAATACATACATTAATATTAATATATAATAATATAATAAGATAATAGTAGTATACTAATATAGCCATAACTCATAAAATAAATATAATAATAAAATAATCATAATACAATATCTTTTTCTTTTGGATCCTTTATGTCTTGAGTTAGTAATCGTTTGCCATACTGAGGTATAACTATTTGCGGTAACACACAGTCTAGATAAAACCTAAAATCAATTATTTATTATTTAAAAATTATTAGACAATTTCTTATTTATATAAAACTTTATAGGTATAGTGTTTTATTTGTAATCATAGTATAATAATAGTTTTATTATTATTACTATTTTATTTATTAATAATAATATTTTGAATACTGACTTTGTTAACTCAGTGCACATTTCGTTTTGCCAAAATTCATCATTGTATACAATTTTTTCGATTTGTATCCAATTTTGAGAAAATACAACAAAATAACAATAACTTTTTTTGCTTATATGCAATTGCCCTTGAATTTGATAATAATAATCATGAGTTCTCTTTAATTCTGGTAAATCTGATTTTTTATTAATTTTAAGAAATTTTATCTGAAAAATGTAAGATTTTATTATACATATAGGTAGGTACATTAAAATTTGGTATTTTTATTTATGATATAATATACATAATTATATCATACTTTTTTGTCATTTATAGCTTCAACGATGGTTGTATGATCTTTAGCAGAATAAGGATATTTAATTTCGACCAGACAGTCATCTCCAATCAGTCCATCTATTAATTAAAAATGTAAATACATGACTAAATGTATAAAAAATGTACTATACTGTATCCTACTGATCTATTTAACGTAAGACACGCTAATTATTTCAAAAAGTGTTAACCTTTTTGAAAATATTTTTTACTTGGTTTCAAGTAGTTATAAAATAACATTTTTAAATATATAATATATATATTACAATATTTAAGATTCTGAGCGGAGCGATGATTGACTTTACGATGACATGTTTTTTTTTGTGTCTGTCATCTTCTTTTAGAACAGTAAAAGTGCATAGATTTTCTTCAATAGTATTTTTTCTGATAGGAAAGTGAATCTATTTGGTACTCTGGGGTTGAAAAGTAAAAATTGTCCAGTAGTTTTCAAAAGCGCCATTAAAAAAAAAATTAAGCTCGTTTTTTAGCTGTTTACGGACATTGTCAGTTTTTTTTTTTCTATAATATAAGTGTCAATAAAATGTTATTTGTTGGATGAAAATGCGTGAAAATATAATACAAGGCTCCTGATATATTGCTACAATAGCAGTTGAAAATATTAAAAATACAGGCACAATTGTTTTTTAATAACATTAAAAGTTCTAATTATGACAAAATTTATCAAATTTTAAATTGTATAATTATTTTGTAGTTAAAAATTTATAAAATGTTCAACTTTTATATCTAAAGACTGAAAATGTAAAACAAGGTTCCACGTAAATAGGTTATTATTATATAAATTACTTTAATTAACAATAATATCATCAAAATACTTCTTACTACTTAGTAATACCATAGGCTGACTGACCGTCTTCGCTCAGAATCGTTTTTCTTGTACAATGATATTATATCATTGAATTCAAATTTAATACCATTCATTACAGTGACCCACTTGTAACCTACTGTACAGCAGAGCGACACCCATTAGCCCACCTTTTTTTATACTCATCCACGTATCTGAACTTTAAATACTTTTAACTCAATACTTTTAACTTCGATTTTTAAGTACCGAAATACAAAGAATAATATTCAGCTTTAGAATGTAAAACTAAAACTGTATGTTTTCATTAAAAAAAGTAAAAATTAAAAAAAAATTATAAAGATAAAGAATATAATTAAATATATATAATATACTAGCTGATCCCGTGCACTTCGTTGCCCCGTTAAATGTATCAATTCTATATGTCTCAAAGTTTGTTCAATTCGTTATTTAATATTCGGTGTATGCGGTGTTCAAAATTAATCTTAACTTTTCCGTTGTCCCGAATAAAAATTCTGATTCGCAACAGTAATCTACCTGCGATAGATCGCGGACCCTGTGCTGTTTGTACGTAAGTTTATGATTTAACTCTAAAGTATCAAAGTTATACCAAGTTTATCGTTTTTACTTAATTTCGCCTAAGATGGATTATTATAATCATTTTATACAAAATCCTATCCTAACCTAACCGTACTAAAATCCGATGAAAAAAAAAACAAATTTAACCCTTAGTAAATTAACCTATCTTCTTCCCAGACGTCTAATCTACCCACAAACATTAATATATATATATATAACTATATAAATACACGGACTATAACTATACAGACTCTGTAACTACTTATCAGATCTTTTTGTATTTATTATATATATATATATGTATATTGACAAAAAATAATGATACAAATCAAGAACATGCCCGATTAACCAATAGCAACCAATATATTATACACCGATGGATTTTCCTAACATTTTTTTTTCATACAAACCTTATCCATGAAATACTCTTTCGCTTAAAAAAAATCAAGAAGATCTAAAAGGAGCTCCAGAGATAAGTAGTACAGAGATTTTCATTTCACATTTTTATAGTTAGATATTAGATTACAATTTATATTTAAAAAGTAAAGCAAATAGTTTTTTTTTTTTATTTTTATTATTGTAATAGCTTAAAAACCCATGGCAACCATTTATAAACAAAAATGTCCATCGGAAATCTCAAAATTCCCGTTTGAGCACCTCCCGGGGTTGGTCCTCTCCCTTTTTAAATTAGCCTATCTTTTAAGTTTGACCAAATTACACGCGGTGTAAAAAATTTCATCAAAATTGGTTTAGGAGTCCATTGAGGACAAACATTGTGACACGAGATTTATATATATTAAGATAGATATATACTTATTTACATTTTGTTTTTTAACGACAAGAAACCATGTAAACATTTTTTATTTAATTATTGATAGGTGGGCATGTCTATAATTAAATGTCTTTGTATTATATTAAACATATGAATGTATTATAATTTATAAAAGGTTATAGACTATGTATTACCTGGTGAAGCAGCAAAGTATGGAATAGATTGATCAATTATTAGACCGCAAGAAGAAACATTTTGACCTAATTTAGTTTCCAAACATTGTATAGCGATTGATTCCATTGATTTTCCATATTCAGTTGCAGCTGAAGAAAAATATCTGTACAACAAATCATAAACCTAAGACTTACACGAGGTTGTTGATCTTCGTTTACAAATTCGGCCAAAGTTAGAAGCAGTAAGACGGTTTTTTCGTTCAATATGCCATTTTTGACATGCTACTTGTTCTCTTGTTTCTAACTTCAACTGTTGCCTTGCATTTTTATTCAGTGTGATAGAATGCAAAAAATATGTTTTTTTTTCTTCGATGTCATGTAAAGAGCATTCATCTAGAAGAGGTTCAGCTTAGCCGTAAATCGTAATGTTCATCTGCACCGCGTAATTTTTTCAAAATCAATTTTTTCTTAGGAAACAACTGCCTTCTTTTTTAAGTGCTGCTGCTTTCCTTTCTCTAGATTTTAAAAATGTCTTTCCTACATGACCTATAAATTATAACAATATTGGCATAATATGTAACTAGTTTTTATAACATATATATTTTACTAAATTACCAGGATTAATTTCATTGACTGCATGTTTGTGTAATGAACGTAAAAATTAACCTGAAGTATTATATGATACAACAGCAGACTCAATTCTTGTATTATACGAATTTCGTAATGAAAAATTGATCCGTTTTCCACACAAGTGTTTATTTATAATACTGTTGAATTGTTCACACACATTATTGTCCACGTTTAACAATAAACTTTCAGTATGCATTACTAGTCGTCCAACTATTTGATTTATTTCTCTTACTAGGCCACATTTTTCCAGGTCATCTAACAAATCAAGTTCATTTGATTTGTTTCCATTACAAAAATATTTTTCACAATGCTTATGACTACCCATAATATGGCAAAAGCTATTTGTAATATCTTTACGTAATCCTATATAGAATAAAATTAAATATATATTAATATTATATTATAGTAAAACACAAATTATCACTTAGGAATGTAGATAATTGGTAACATAATATGGAGTAAATACGAGTAATATGTGTATTATTATTTTTATAATGTACTTATATTAGTACACTAATATACTTATATTGTTATTTATTTACTTTTGTGATTATCATCACTTTTTGGAGAAGAAAAAATGCTTTAATCTTCAATTTAAAGTTTATGGTAGCCAATTGGATAATAATTATTATAATAAAGTATATACAAGGTAAATGTGTTGTTCACCATGCGTCAGGCATGCTAAAACCTATCGTTTTTTCAATAATGAAATGGATATACAAACTTCTGTTATTCAAATTAGAAAAATAAATTCTTTTTTTAATTTAAACTGTTTAGTGAATATTTTTTTTGGAACACTGGCAAATTCTCCTGTATAATGTTTGACAACAATGTTTGCCGTATAACAATAATAATATAAATAAATTATAAAATAGCCTTAAAAAAAGAGACAGACACCTCCGTTTTCTCCACTAACAATCGATTTTCATATGACATATCATACCTACAATCATTGAATAACATTTTAACACTTTCATAACAGTGACAAAGTACATTTTAAAGTTTAAATCCAGTGGCGTGCTCATTGCTTATTACTCATTCAAACCTAACATATAACAGAGCCATTTAATACATATATTACACTTAATATGTAGTATAAATTAACATTTGAATTAAAGTATACAAAAACAAATTCAAATTGTAATATAAAAGTAAAATATAAAAAAAAATGTATATATTTATATATTATTATTAATTATACTACACTTAATATGTAGTATAAATTAACAGTTGAATTAAAGTATATAAAAACAGATTCAAATTGTAATATAAAAGTAACACACATTTTTAGCCAACGACATTTGTATTATTTAGTTCAAACAAAAAAATGAATGTGTAATATACAAAACTATATTAAAAAATATATATATACATCTGAAAATATAAATTCAAAAGTATATTATAATAAATTTAATTTTGTATATCCGACAATAATTGGCCCAAAGTGTGGTAAGATTTGTCATATTTTGTATTATAACAGTAAAAATATTTTTGTATAAATGTCCATACAATACTGCTGGCCGGGGAATATTCCAAGTTAAAAAGATGAAAAATTTTAAAACAAATGTCGATTGCAGATAAAATATTAAACATTTTATACCTCACAGAATCAAAATAAACAATAATTTCTCTATAATTTAATAGAGTACCAACAAGAAGAATGAAGGGTTGAATAGGAATTTTTTCATTTCCAAGATACAAAATATACTCTTCAATTTCACCAATTGTATTTTTAAATACAAAAAATGTATCTTCTGAATCTCTAATTGAGTATTTAATTTGATTTTTTTTTCCATTTCCATCCCTCGTGACTTTCTTAGAAGTTGGTACAAATATGGAATGTAGTAAATAAAAAAAAACTGTATTTTTTCCACCTATAAACAAAAATGTAATTTGTAGAATTTACATAATTTAAAACAATAAAAACAATTTATCTTTTTAGGTATATGTGGAATGAGTCCAATGGAAATTAGAATTAATTCAGGATTAACTTATTTATAATTTGATATAATATACTCTATAGTTTTTAAAACGCATTGGCTACAGCAGCATTAAACTGTTATACGATACATATAGACATATCCATTTATTACTCTAAATACTCAACTAGCAATATAAAAATGTAGTCATTTTTTGTAATAATAACAATAAATATAATTACTTTCTGTGACGCATGAATATTCTTTGCATTGTTCAAATAATTTTCGACTAGAACTATCTTTTATTTTATGATAATTAAATTTTGATAATTTGACTGCAGCAAATAAAAAAAAAAATTTTTTTATTAATAATTACAGGTTGATGGAAAACACATACGGCTAGAATGCCCCAAAAGAAGTGGTTCTCTGTATTACAATTACAAAAATTTTTTTTCACTTATACTTATGGCCATTTGTGACTCAAATTATTGTTTTCGCATCATTAATGTAGGATCTTACGGCAAAGAAAGTGATTGCAATGTTTTTAAAATGTCACCATTCGGTAAGAAGTTATATTCCGATAAAACAAACTTTCCACCCAAACGATGTCTACCTGGGGATGATCAAGGCGTACCACAACCATTTATACTAGTGGCTGATGAGGCTTTTCCTCTCAATAAAAATGTATTGCGACCGTTTCCTGGCAGAACTTTAAATGACGAAAGACGAATTTTTAATTATCGTTTGTCTAAAGCCCGTCAGTACATTGAGTATTCGTTTGGAATTTTGTCAAAGAAATGGAGAGTTTTTCAAACGAGCATGCTAGTGGAACCAAATTTTGCGGTCAAAATTACCAAAGCCTGTTGTGTCTTACACAACTTTGTGAGACGCCGTGATGGGTTTAGGATAGCTTGAATGGTGGCTTGAGTATAACTGAGAGAAGAGAAGTTGGCAACGCTCAGACAAATGCGAAGGATGTCAGGGAGAATTTTGTAAAATATGTCAACCACCCAAATAATGCACTTAGCTGGCAAAATAAAATAATTGGTAAGTAAACCAATTACCACTTATGTCCAGAAAATTATGTTTTTAACATTTTACTAATTTTGTTTGTAAAACACATTTACGTATATTTTATACTTATATTTTACTTATGCTTATATTTATTTTGTGCCTTATTTTATAATTTCATATGAGTTTATTGTATACGCCATTTATAAATATGTAGAGGTTACTTGACTTATAAAATATTTCAAAAGTACAAAACCGTTATGATTATTTTTTATTAACCATCAGTATTACAATATTGTTATCTACCCTTAGTACGTAAGGATCCACGTATACAATTCAAATGTTAAGAGTATATAAACTAACAAGTATTGATCAAAATGTATTGCTATTTTTTTTCTTATATAATTATATATTATAATATGAAATTTTACTTTTTTCTGCCTTCTTGCTGTCATCAAGTTCTTCAAACTTTTCCGAACAAGTCTTGGCTACATTTGTCCAACCAACATGTAGCTGTTGCAAATCATGATGACTTTTTGCCTCCATTATAATATCATATATTAGATAAATAAATATATCTTAATAATACGTTGTAACGAGACAGAAAACCCCTATGTTACATCTCTGAGAATAACGAACGTAAAGTATTCGTTATTCTTACTCGAGTGTGTACCGATGCGCCGACAGCCGATCTACTAGGTATTAAACACAGTCGTTTCTGTTTACGAGTGTGGCTGGTACGCGTGACAGATGGCGCAGCACTCGCCGCCCTTTTCGCCGTGCGCGCATAAGCAATAATTAAAACGTCAAAACTTAAAGCTAGTAACTTAATAAAGATTTAAAGAAAGAAATCGTCGATGGCACTTCAGGCAAAAATATCGATATAGTCTATTCGGGAACTCGAAAAGGTATGCAGAGACTTAAAAGAATCGCCAGTTGCTAGGTAACGTAGTGTTACTTCAAGTTTTGTGATTACTGGGATTGCCATTCTCATAACTGTATCTTCTTTTTTGAGCATTCCATCTACCATATTCAAAATGGGTACAGTCTAATCTCAAAATATTGCGATAAGCTGAAGCGTCTTCGTCCTTCAACTATTTCAGTAAACTACTCGATGCACCATACATCTCACGTCTGCCTATCCATTGTTTCACCCATATATTTCTTTGCCTTTTCCGCTTTTCTTTTTTTTTTAACTCCTTTTTGCTAGCATGAGCTAAGATAATGACAATCGCACGTACAATTTCCGTCGACATTTTGTAAACACTGAAACCATAAACGCCAGCTAGTAGCGAATAAAGTAGACCAGCTTTCAACTTTACTCGTGGATAGTTAACAATCTGCTAGTTGGCTAGTGAACATGATTACACTAGGCGAGTTTACTAGCAGATAGTGAATTTGCCAACTATCAGCTTGTAAACTTGCTCAATATAATCGAGCCTTAAGCCTTCATTTTTAAAAACTCTATTTTTCAAATGATTAAAATTACTTTCGCATCTACTACTTGAAGCTGTTTCATCACTAAATCCAAAACTATTTACCAATTATACTTGACCAACAAGGAAATAGTTTCATCCTATTAATGATAATAGGTACAAGTTCAGATAGATATTGAGCATTGTCATATTCACCAATTATATTCTTTACTAGTGTTTCACATTTCCTTAAAATTTCTCTTGCTCAGTGTTTAAAAGATGTTACATTTACATTAACTACATGTATTTCTTCATAATAACTTTCTAGAATTTCACAATCGTATTTATTAAAATTATTTATTATATCATCAACAGTAGAACTAGTAAGCGTAATCAATGATTGTAATTTTTTTTTACTTTGTGCGAATGCAGATTCTGTCTGTACGTCTCTGTCATCATCATTATTACTTGTATTTATACAAGGCCCATCATATTTAATGAAAGCTATTACAAATATAGCCTCTAGTATTTTTTTTTTTGCTTCATCCATATTTTTACAAGATATTAAAAGGCACATTGCTCTACAAAATAGCTGTTTTGTTCTAGGATATTTAGAAGTTTTTAATGGCTGCCATTGACTCACTAAATGGACAAAATTACTTACATCATTTCTTATAAAACAGGTTGGTATTTTTTGTTCGCTATTGTTTTTTTCTTTAAAGATTGAAAAACAGATATTTAAGTATTTTTCAAAAAAATTATACTGTGTAAATGATTGCACAAGTGCAGACATCAAAGCAAGTGATTGGTCACTAATTACAACCTTAGGTGGTGTGAAATTTGCAGATCTCAACCAGCCTTTCAACCACAAAAATATCGAAACATTATCGTGTTGTCCTGATAGCATTGATAATGCTGTATAACTTTGATTATTTATTTTCATGATGCCTTCTTACAAATAAATTGTACCACTATGATTCTGACCAATTCTCTTCATTTTTTTACAGCAGCCTCCAGTTGCATCAAAACTTATAGTTGGAATTGTATTTTTAATGCAAACTTCTTTACATATTCTCAATTGAAGATTACTCCACAAATGAATAAAAAATTTATCAAACCCAATATCATGAATGCTCGCCATTGTATTTTATTAAACTGAATGCAGTAATTGGCTAATTGCAGATATTTCTCCATTCTTAAGTGCTCTTAAAGCATTGGTGTTAGGTATAGAAACGGGTATTACATCACCTTTAAATTTAAATAAAAAATAGAATTTTAGAAAGTTAAATTTTAGATTCTGAGCGGAGCGAGGAAGCTAGTGGTTTTACAATGGTGTTCATTTTTTTTTTTTTTTATATCCTGTATACAAAATTTTTACCAGAAGAAGTGCTTCGATTTCAACACATAGTACCTTATCTTTTAGAAAATCGGATCGAGATGGTATTTTAGAGGGGTCATTTTTCGATTTTATCAATAGTTATTTAATGCCACTTGTAGAAGGTACAAAACTGGAGTAACAACTAACAAAAAGTACCTACTACTCCACACAGGTGGTTAAACACTATGCGTTTTAAACGCAAGCAAACTTGACAAACGCCCGTTTTAAATCACAAAAATAGATTTGCCGTGAGTGAATTTATGATTCACACTACGGGAAAAAACGTGCGTTCGATCATTTCCGATCGCATACGATCGGACTGGTTCAATTCCGGATCCCAGGTAGCAATTTTAAGGTGCAATATCTTTGTACATACACGGTGCTTATAACACGGTTCATACGCGGTGTAAGAACCATTGACCTATTATACATGGACTGAGCGTTTCCTATCTTTCGTGTGTAACAATCTTGAGCATAGAATGAGATAGAGCTAGTACTCCTATTTGGAAGAAAGGAAAAAGTTTTTTTCTTTTGTTCCATGAAAAAATACAACTTGTTGATCTTCATAAATTGTTTATTATTTACAACTCTACTGATAATGAAAGTTTACAGCTTTCGAAGTACAAATTATAAATGTATAATATACTAAATAATATATATTATAATAATGTATTAAAGTAAGGAAAGTGTAGATATTATTTTATTTAATTTATTTAATGAATGCATAATTTTTGAAAAATTTTATTGGTGTTTAAAATGTATAATCTTTGTAAGCGCTGAACGAATTCTTTGCTGAGGTTGTGATAGATTTTTATTGTAATGATGAATACGGATTTTGAAGTAGTATAAAAGAATATTTTTTATTAGCTGAAGTAAGTGGTTATGTAGAGGAGACTGGTTTAATATGTGGTTATTTAAAATTTGGAATAGTTTGTTTATTTCTATTGTTGATATTGTTTTGACAATTAAAGTGTTTATTGGGTTGCTTTTTTGTTTTATTAACACAGTGTTACTTTTAAAAACTCTTTCGGCCTTGATACATATATCTGTAACATCTTTTGATGGTTTTATCAAGTAACCTCTTGTTTTAATATCAATTAATGAGCAGTTATTATTTGCAGATAGAACTGCAGCGCATTCATTGCATTATATAATTTTCTTTATCTTTCTAACAATTGCCCCTGCAATATATTCTATTACGTCATGTGTTATATGGTTATTAATGTTATCCACAATATTGTCACAATAATCATTTACTATTTCAGTGTCTTCTCCACATAATATATCTATATAATCTTCTCGGTTTTATTTATTTTTTTTGAGCTCGAAACATGTAATATTGTTGTTGCGTCTTGGGGTAAACAATTTGCTCCAGAAGAAGTCATTATTTCTGTGTGTACCAATATTCTCTTCATTGCTGCTTCAACTTGTGTTGCTGCCGGATTATTATTAAACCCATTACGTGCTCGTATAGCAGAGAAAAGAATCTCTAAATGGTCCTGTGAAAGCTTATATGTCAATAGAAATTTGAGCTTTCCACTTGCAACAAGTTCATCCAATAAATGTTTAACACTTGTTAAACATATAATCAATCCCATGAATCCAATTATTCTAGAACTTAGTAATATTGGTTTATGATCTTTATCTTTTAGGTTTTGTAAATATTGTATAGAATCGGATATAAACTTATGACAAAATGTTATATCTTTTAGAAAAAATGGTTTTTTATATGGTGACTTGCTAAGAAAATTGGGTGCATTTAAAAAATCAAATATGTGATCTATTTGTCGGCAAAATGTAATGGTTGAATCACAATCTGTAAATGATGACATATTCAATACCTCCGAACAATATTGGAACGCATCGGCTACACTAGAGCTAAGAGTCTGAGCAGCGAGTGAGACTTTCATTTTTTCCTTGTAATATAGTATATGTCGTTTTCGTATATTTGTCCCTAAATGTAGGCCAATGTTCTCTTGTACGCTCACTAGCTCTTTGAAATACTGCCATTTTATAGGTAAATCATTTTCGTCATGTAATAATTGATGGTCCCCTAATGTATTCCTACAGAGTTTTAACATTTGTGCTGCATCAAACATTATAAATATTTTTTCTTTTGTAATTGGATGGTTAAAATAACTTTTTAAGTTTGGAAATTGTAAATTTGCTCCTAATTCTCGAGCCATTGACATATTTAAGGCTGCTCCATCAAATGTTAATGATTTTACCGTTTCATGTATAATTTTTAGGCAATGATTTACAAGATTTACTTTTTCAGAGGCTGTTAGTCCATTGATTAAAAAGTATGCCACAGGGACTTTCCAATTCGAATTTATGTCAACTAATAAAAATACTATAATATCTGATGCCATTGGTAACCCATCACTATCATTTTTAACACCAAAATTAACATAACCAATATTTCTGTTATTATTAAAATGTACATCCTTTTTAATACTCATTTCATCCATCATTAAACTGCATATTAGTGTCTGTCCTGTCTCTGCCATAGAATCAACTTTAATTTTTACTGCATTTAATGCCTCATTTAAAAATCCTGCTTGACCATCAATACCTCCATACCATTTTCGTAGTGTACTTGGGTGGGGCAATCAGTTATTAAATTGTTTTCGTACATAATTGTATGCTGATGCTGAATAATAATTAAGAGTGAGTGCAAATGATCTTAATTCAGGAGATATCGTTTTACCAGTTTTAATATTTAATTGCTTAAGTACAATTTCTTGTTCAGCTATAGACAACGCTTCCTAAAAATGATTTATTAAATATTTTTGATTGGCAACATAATCCTTATCCAACAAATAAACACAACACATAAATAATAAAATATAAAACTATTTATTGTACAGATTAAAAAATATAAGGTATATTAGTAACATGGACACACGACTTTGAACTAATTATTTATTTGGAGGATGTTGTTAAAGTGAGTTAGCTACAATAGTTTAAAAATTAGAGTGAATTGGCCTCTTTTAAAATTTAAAGATAAGATTATTATCTTGGCATTTTCAGAGGCTTTTCATCATATTTTAATTTTAAAGTGAGTATTTTAAAATTGTAAATCTTTTGTACACCTTAAAATACTCCTAACTCGCTTAAAACAAAAATATAATAGAAAGCCTATGACATGCTGAGCGTACACACTTGTAAGACGGAGACAACACTTGCGGGTGCCACTTCCTCTTATTATTTATTTGTAGTTTTTACCTTAATTACTGAATAACAGTCTGAAATATAATTGTTATATTTAAGGTGATTGATTAGTTGTCTATAACTTTTAATTTTATTTAAGAGTCTTTTATTCTTTTTCTTCGTTAAAAGAATTTCTCTTTTATACTTTTTAATTGTATTTTGTGACTCTGACCAATACCGTAACCGCTTTCTTGGACTATTTAAATCCTGGACATCAAAATCACCAATAAAACATTTTCTAAAATAAAACAAATTATAATTTATTATAATCCTATAAAATATTTAATAAAGGTTGATGAATGTACAATTTCTCAATTTCTGACAACCTGTTAACTTGGTTACACAAGAACAAATTATATGAACACAAAATTATAACTTACCGAGGTGAACAGGATTTCTTAATAACTGCAAAATCTTGTTTTACATTCGTTTTTAATGGTGATTTTGAACTATCTAATATTTTAAATATTTATGGAAAACTAATCAAAAAATATACTGGATTGATTATGGTTACTTTTCATCAACTGTAATGGATAACATTCCAACTCTTCTGCTAGATTCTTACTAGTATTTGGATCACCTAAAACATTATTAATTTATATCACATTAGAGTACAAACTAATTAAACTTCTAAAATAAATTATATTTTATTATTAATTTTAAAATACTAACAAGGAAATTGAGATGGGAAATTACTTTTGTCCTCAAAAATTGTATAAGGCAGCAACGTTATAAACTCACCTATATGTTTATACCAAAAATATTAAAACCAAAAATTATGTGTCTAAACAGATACTAATTTTTCATGTTGTAATAAAATGACTTACTAAAAACAAATGGAACAGCAGTTTTTTTTAGTAGGTTGTTTAACTCATAGTCTGTTGATAAAAAATGACATTGACAAACGTAATGGGATTTCTTCATTATATATGACGGTTGAAAGTTTTGAATTGATTCGACCCATAATGTTTGACGATTTTTATCAAGTGGAAATCTAAGAAAAATAAAAGGGTTACAAATAAAATTTATAAGAGTATAATACTTACTTATGCAACTTTAGTTTGGATCATTTATTTCCTTTGGACTCGCTGAAAGGAATACAGCAACTCCAAACCATCGTAAAATTCGTCAGCAATTAGAGCAATACAATTAACTAAATTTTTTTGAAAAATGTTGAATACTCAAAGTCAAACTTTTCTTCCAAAAAGGAGTACATCTTTTATCTCATTCTTGGCCGCGGTTTCTCTTTCTACTCTCAGTCCATTTATAATAGGTCAATGGTAAGAACTGTGCGGCTTCAATAAATTTTAATGTTTATGCTAGGAAGGGTTCACGGTGTAAAAATAACCAATCAATAAAAATGTTAATATATTATTGGGTATAAAGCAATATTTGATTGAATTACATTTATGCAGTTTTTTATATTATAATTGCTTTAATTCCTCAAATAACCCGTAATAAAATCCACGAAAATATTTTGATTATAAGTACTATCCATAGTATAATCGCGTATAAAAAATCGAAATTAATTAAAATAAAAATTAAAAAAAAAAACAAAATTAATTATGTTTTAAATATTTTGAAAATTGATTCTAATGATGATAAACTACAAATCAAAATAGAAAATATCAATAAATGTTTGAATTTGACGTTCTTTAACAGGTAATTACTTTTACAGTTATTCATACTATATAAATAAATATGTACCTACAGAATTATATTTATTGCCATAATTTAAAATAATTACCTATAGATATATTGAAAAATGGAACAATTGTTGTAGACACAACGATAGATTTATCAAAGCAAATTTAGATTGGCTTCAAATAATAGTCATATTTTCCGATTCTGTTTATGATAACACCTGCACCAATAATGACGAAACCGATTTAAATAATACTGAGGTTAAAAAATTGTATGGTCGTCCGGTTTTATCGTTTGACGATTCTAGTGACCGATCAAAAAGACGAAAGTGTCAAAGTTTGTATAAGACATCTTGTTTAAGTGAACTAAGCCAAACCACTTCATTGGCATTAAGAAAACATGGCATTGAAGATGCAGCAAAATTAGTTCAAGAAATTACGCATAATACTCCGACAAGAGGAAAAAAAATTCGTAAAACGTGGATAAATCGACAGTTAAAAAAATGAACCTACGTCATTAAGTACAGATGAAGCTCTCTCATTAATTATTTCTTCATCGTTATCAAAATGTCAATACAATTTACTTAGGAAAGGTGCGAAACAGCATAATTTTTATTTATACCCCTCGTATCACAAGATAATTGCTGTGAAAACTGATACTTAACCTAATGACATAATAATAACTGTTGAAAAATATGAGGTAAATATTGATTTGTATAAAATGTTTTTATTTTATATTTTATGATAAGTATTAATAAAAATTTAAAAATTGATTTTAATTATTTAACAGGTGAAGCTTCAATCCCTTCTCAATCATACAGCACAGAGACTTCTAAAAAGTATTTCAAATACAGAACAATATACTGATCTGAGTACTACTTTATATTACAATGGGGTTATGATGGGACTTCTGGTTTTCAAATGTATAAACAAATTACACCTGGAGATTCCAGTGACGAATCTATGCTAGTAACTTCGATGGTACCATTACGCTTAGAATGTGCGGCGCATCCGAGTTGGGTCCCGAGTACTAGGGATAAATCGCAGGTACTACACTAGTTGGGTCCTGGATTTTTTTTAGGTACTACACTAGTTGGGTCCAGGATATTTTTGGGTACTACAATAGTTTGGGTCTGGGATTATTTTAAGTAAATATACAATCCAAACGAAAAATGATATTGAACGATGGAGATTCATTCAGAGATCATGTAAGTAATTTTTTAAAAATATTTCAACGATCAGTTTATCAAAATTTATAAAAGACAAAATGAATCAAAAAAATGCAGGAATAATAAATCTATTTGATTTTGCAAAATGAATGTCTTATAAATTTTTTCCAACACACGTGTGATTTCTTTAAACAATATTTTATTTATATTATACAATACCTATGTATTTGCACGGATAATGTGGAGTTGTACGGTTCCACCACGGTATCTGATACCTACGCTCAAACATTTCGGATAGTTATATAGTTATAGCTATACACAGTAAAATAATTATTAATTCTAACGGTTAGGTTAGATCTATTTTTACATTGTTCAGATATTTTATTGATTTATTGGTAGATTTAAATCGATTGAAATAATCATTTATGTGCAATGCATAAATCAACATTAATGGGAAAAAAAACGATGGATGTCACTCTGCTGTACAGTAGGTTACAAGTGGGTCAATGTATAATGGATTGTATTAAACTTGAATTCAATGATATAATATCATTGCATAAGAAAAACGATTCTGAGCGGAGACGGTTTGTCAGTACTCAGTCTGGATATTTTATATTGTTATTATTTATTATAGTTTATAAGTTGAATTGATATTTTAATATTATAATTTTTCATTCGCTTCTATGGTGATAAACAAAGCGGTTTTTTGTAATTTGTCGGGGATTTTTCCCATGACGTTAAACAATTATTGAGAAAATCGAAAAATGACCTCTCTGAAGTATACCAGCTTGATCCAATTTACTAAAAGTTAAGAAACTATATTATGTTGAAATCAAAGCACTCCTTCTGGTAGAAATTTTGTATACAAGATAAAAAATAAATAAACACCATTATAAAACTACAAGCTTCCTCGCTCCGCTCAGAATCTAATAAACTAAACAAATATGAATAACTAAATAACAGTCACAATATTTTGAAGGTGGTATATATATTATGTATAGTATATAATACAATAGACGCCGCTTATAAGACTCACGGATATAAGGTTCAGTCGCTTATTAGACTCAAAATCGTCTGGAACGGACCGGACGTACCCAAATACATTAAAAAAAAATCGGTTATAAGACTCAAATTTCGTAAAATAAATAGTAGAAAATAAACTTTTTTGGTTATAATTTAGAAATAAATTGGTATTGAAAAATTAAATAATATTCGTGTTGATTATTTCTAGTTTCTGGTGGTACTTTATAACGTATAATAAAATAAAATAATAAAATAATAAAAATAAATAATAAATAGGTACATTATAATATGTATATACATCCTTTATAATTTTTTATTAATGTATAATTTTTATATGTACCTAATATTTACGCCTATTATAATTTTAGTTTTTTTTATTATTATTATTAAATTTATTCAATAATAAAGTATGTAATATGTAATATGTGTTAGAGTATTAAAACCAAAGCAAAATATGTAGTAAAATAAAATTTATAAATACGTAATTAATTTTTTTTTTCACTTCGCCTATAAGATTCATTCGGTTATAAGACTCACTTTGTGCTGGTCCCTAAGTGAGTCTTATAAGCGGCGTCTACTGTATTTGATTTATAACAATTTTAATATTTTTCTTTGTTTAGTACCTGCATGTTATTGCCATTTATTATTCAAATATAATTCTAATAATTTATATTTCTAATGGCAAATAAACTAAAAAAATAAGCTGTAAAAAACACTTTTAACCATAACTTTGGTCTAAATAGACAGTCCTAAGTCTGTTAAAATGGGAAGGAAAATAAACTTATGTATATTACTCAAAAAAAAAAAAAAAATTAGACCCCAACTATTGTTGTACCTGTGAAAATTCCGGACCCAACTAGTGTAATACCTGCATAAATCCCGGACCCAACTAGTGTAGTACCTGAAAAAATACCGGACCCAACTAGTATAGCATTTTTTAATTCGGGACCCAATTCGGATGCAGCCAGAATGTGATGTCAACGGTGAAACTGTATGGCAAAATCCAGTATGCTCATCCACACGGTATTGCAGACCAATTCGACTCCAGTATATTAAAGAAACCATTACCATTATTCAAGTAGTTAACTTTAAATGGATCTGACAATGATTGACGGAAAGGTATATAATATTATTATTGTATTTATTTGCCATCTTATACATTGTATCTATATATTAATTAGGTATGTAATGGAATAACAGAAACATCGTCAATGAAATACTATATATGTGGAGCAAAAATATCGGAAATGAATAATTTAAACTTATTAAGCAGGAAAATAGAAGATACATCTAGGTTTAGGTAATAACTATTTAAATCATTTATTAATAAAAAAAAAACAGTATACATTTAAACTACCGGAACTATAATTATAAAACTTATTTTATTATTACAGTTTCGGACTTTCTACACTTCATGCCTATATTCGTTTTTTTGAGTGTCTTCTTCATATTTCATATCGTTTGAATTTCAAAAAAATGGAAGGTAACCATTCATTTTATTTCATTAATATTGATACTAATAAATTATAATATAGTTCTAATAAACATTATTTATTTCAGGCAAGTAAAAGTAATGGGTATAATTTATTACTGAAAGAAAGAAAAATTCAAATACAAAATTCGTTTAGAGAAAAATTAGGATTGATTGTTGATATGCCGAAACCAGGTTTTGGGACAAGTAATTATGGGAATACAGCTAGACGATTTTTTAAACATTCCAACATATCAGCTGATATAACGGGAATAGATCATAGATTAATTGAACGATTTAGTATAGTTTTACAAACACTATCATGTGGGTACCATTTAAACTTTGAAACATTTGGAAATTTTTGTTCTGAAACTGCCAAATTGTATGTAAGTTTATATGACTGGTATTATATGCCACCAAGTGTGCATACAATTTTATTGCACGGCGCTTCCATAGCAAAATCATTTATTTTACCAATTGGACAAATGAGCGAAGAAGCACAGGAAGCCCGCAATAAAGATATAAAAAAATATAGAGAATATCATAGTAAAAAATCATCAAGGGTAAATATTAATAAAGATATTTTTCAAAGATTATTACTATCATCAGATCCCCTAAAAAGTAGCCTAAGCGATAGTAATTATAATAAGAAAAAAAGAACTTTCCATCCATTTTTCAAGACATTATTACTTGAAGTTGAAAATGAATGTGATCCTGATAGTAGCAACTGTGATAGCAGTGGGGAAGATTAATTTTTATATTATATTGTGTATAATATATTTGAACATTTGAAAATTGAAAATAAATCATA